TTTTCTTTCTTTTCTTTCTTTCTTTCTTTCTTTCTCTCTCTCTCTCTCTCTCTCTCTCTCTCTCTCTCTCTCTCTCTCTCTCCTTCCCTCCCTCCCTTCCTTCCTTTCAAGTTCTTCAAATGATTCTCCTAAACAGCCAGGTAGCCAGCTTGTGCTAAAGGTAAATGTTTAAATGAATGGGTCCTTTTGGCTCCAAAGCTTATATTACATTCATTTCAACACTTTACTCTGTCACCGCACCTAGCCAAATAAAGAAGTGTGAAAGAGGGGCGCCTGGGTGGCTCAGTTGGTTAAGCATCTGACTTCGGCTCAGGTCAAATCTCATGGTTCATGGGTTTGAGCCCTGCATCGGGCTCTGTGCTGACAGCTCGGAGCCTGGAGCCTGTTTCAGATTCTGTGTCTTTCTCTCTCTCTGCCCCTCCCCCACTCATGCTCTGTCTCTCTCTGTCTCAAAAATAAATAAACTATAAAAAATTAAAAAAAAAAAAGAAGTGTGAAAGATGTGCGTATCCATTCTCCATTCCGTAATGCCCTGCGTGACATGGGCTCTGCTATTTCTACCAAGAGGAGAGATCAGGGAGAGATGTGGTGGTGTGAAGGGAAGGAGCTGAATAGCAGATGTGAGGAGCATGTGGAAAGGAACAGAGTAAGGAGCCTGAGAAGGGTGCCATTATAACTGTGACTTTTCCAAGCCATAACCCAGCCTGGCTATCCCTGAATGAAAATACACACACACACACACACACACACACACACACACACACACACACACACATCATACACCCCTCCACTGGGCCTGCTTTTGTGTTTCTGTATATGGCCAGAAGCAGAGTATCCTGAGAAGGAAAAACAAAATAAAGAGACAGTGATACAGGCTACTTTTTCATATAGTTTGTAAGGTGTACCTTTTACTGAAAAATTTTTTTTCCTTTTGACAAAAAACATTCCAGACTTCATCCAAATTGAGATGCTTTTCCAGATTATGAAAGAAACTACAGATGAATGCGTGCTACTAAAAACAGTGTATGTTAACAATGTCGCACCTCCAAATGTTTTATACAGGCACACCTTGGAGATCCTGCGGGTTCAGTTCCAGGCCACTGAGATGAAGCAAATACTGCAATAAAGTGAGTCCAATGAATCCTTTGGTTTCCCAGCACATATAAAAGTTGTTTATACTGTAGTCTATTAAGTGTGCAATAACATTGTGTCTAAAAAACAATGTGCATTGCTTAATTAAAAGATACTTTATTGATAGAAAATGCGAACCATAGGGGTGCCTGGGTGGCTTAGTCAGTTAAGCATCTGATTTTGGTTCAGGTCACAATCTGACAGTTTGTGGGTTCGAGCCCCGTGTCAGGCTCTGTGCTGACAGTTCAGAGCCCAGAGCCTGATTTGGATTCTGTGTCTCCTGCTCTCTCTGTCCCTCCCCCCCACACACTCTGTCTCTCTGTCTTTCTCAAAAATAAGTAAACATTAAAAAATTTTAAAAAAGGAAAATGCTAATAGTCATATCTGAGCTTTCAGTGCCTTGTAATCTTTTTGTTGGTGGCAGGTCCTGTCTGGACGCTGATGGCTGCGACTGATCAGGGTGGTGGTTGCTGAAGGTTGGAGTGGCTGTGACAGTTTCATAAAACAACACAGCAATGACGTTTGCAACATGGATTGACTCTTCCTTTCATGAACAATTTCCCCATAGCAGGAGATGCTGTTTGATAGCATTTTTTTTTTTTTTACAAATAGTTTATTGTCAAATTAGTTTCCATATAACACTCAGTGCTCATCCCCACAAGTGTCTTCCTCCATGCCCATCCCCCCTCCCCCCCACATCCATCAGTCCTCAGTTTTTGTCAGCATTCAAGAGTCTCTCATGGTTTGCCTCTCTGTTTGATAGCATTTTACTTCTTTACTACTCTTCGAAAGGAGAGTAGAACTTCTTTCAAACTTGGGGCCCATCCTCTCAAACCCTGGAGTATCATTGCCCGGGAGTAGATTCCATCTCAAGAAACCACTTTCTTTGTTCATCTGTAAGAAGTATCTCCTGGGGCGCCTGGGTGGCTCAGTCAGTTAGGTGTCCGGCTTCAGCTCGGGTCATGATCTCACAGTCGGTGGGTTTGAACCCCATGTCAGACTCTGTGCTGACAACTAGGAGCCTGGAGCCTGCTTTATCTCCTTCTCTCTCTGCCCCTCCTCCACTCATGCTCTGTCTCTCTCAAAAATATTAAAAATTAAAAAAAAAAGAAGTATCTCTTCATCTCTTCCAGTTTGATCATGAGATGCAGCCATTCAGTCCCGTCTTCGGGCACCACTTCCAAGTCCAGTTGTCTTCCTCTTTTACCACATCTGTGGTTACTTCCTCCCCTGAGCCCTTGAACCCCTCAACGTCATCTGTGGGGGGGTTGGAATCAACAACTTCCAAACTACCATCGATGTTGATGTGTTGGCTGCTTCTCATGAATCATGGATGTTCTTATTGGCATCTAGAGTAGTGAGTCCTTTCTAGATTTTTCAACTTACTTTGCCCAGATCCATCAGAGGAATCACTTTTATGCAGTGATAGCTTTACATAATGTATTTCTTAAATAGTAAGACTTGAAAGTCAAAATGACTCCTTGATTCATGGGCAGCAGGATGAATGCTGTGTTAGTGAACATGAAAACAACCTTAATCCACTATTCTGGTGACTGGATGGCTCAGTCGGTGAAGTGTCTGATTCTTGATCTCAGCTCAGGTCTTGCTCTCAGGGTCATGACTACAAGCCCTGTGTTGGGCTATGCTCTGGGCATGAAGCCTGCTTAAAACAATAACAACAACAACGAATCTTTTTTCCTGAGCAGTGGTTCTCAACAATGGACTTGAAATATTCAGTAAAACATATTGTCAGCAGATGTGCTCTTATTCCATTGGCAGAACACAGGCAGAGGAGATTTGCCATCATTCTTAAGGGGCTCAGGAGTTTTGGAATGGTTAGTGAGCATTGGCTTTAACCTCATGTCAGCAGCTGCATTAACCCCTAACAAGAGAGTCACCTGTCCTTTGCAGCTTTGAAGCCAGGCATTGACTTCTCTCTAGCTAGAAAGCTCTAGATGGTATCTTCTTCCAATAGAAGGCACCTTTGTCTACCTTGAAAATCTGTTGTTGTGTGTAGCTGCCTTCCTGAATTGTGTCAGCTACATCTTCCGGAGAACTAGCTGCAGCTTCTACATCAGCACCTGCTGCTCCACCTGGCACTTAAATTATTTTTAATGTTCATTTATTATTAGAGAGAGACAGAGACAGAGCACAAGTGGGAGAGGGGCATAGAGACAGGGAGACACAGAATCTGAAGTAGCCTCCAGGCTCTGAGCTGTCAGCACAGAGCCCAACACGGGGCTTGAACTTACTAACCATGAGATCATGACCTGAGCCAAAGTCAGAGGCTCAACCGCCTGAGCCACCCAGGTACCCCTTCACCTGGCACTTTGATGTTATTCAGATGGCTTCTTCCCTTAAACCTCATAACCAACTTCTGCTAGCTTCCTCACCTCTTTCAGCCTTCATGGAAGTGAAGAGAGTTAGGGCCTTGCTCTGGGTTAGGCCTTGACTGAAGGGAATGTTGTGGCTGGTTTGATCTTCTAACCAGACCACTGACACTTTCCCTACATCAGCAATAAGGCTGTTCTGCTTTCTTATCATCTGTGTGTTCATGGAATAGCACTTTTAATTTCCTTCCAGAACTTCTCTTTTGCATTCACAGTGTGGCTCACTGTTTGGTGCAAGAGTGCTAGATTTCGGCCCTATCTTGGCTTTCATCACATCTTCTTCACTTAGCTGAATCATTTCTAGCTTTTGACTTAAAGTGACAGACACACAACCGTTCCTCTTCCTTGAACACTTAGAGGCCGTTGTAGGGGTATTAACTGACCTAATTTCAATACTGTTGTGTCTCAGGGAATAGGGAGGCCCGAGGAGAGGGAGAGAGACAGGAAAACTGTCAGTTGGTGAAAACATCGGAACACACACAACAGTTATCGATTAAATTCACCCTCTTCTATTGGTGTGGTTCCTGGTGCCCTCAGTTACACTAGTAACATCAGATATCACTGATCACAGATCACCATAACAAATATAATGTAATGAGAAAGCTTGAAATAGTGTGTGGATTACCAAAATGAGACACAGAGACACAGAGTGAGCAAATACTGTCAGAAACATGCCGATAGACTTGTTTGATGCAAGGTTGCCGCAAACTCTCAATTTGTAGAAAATGCAAGTATGTGCAGCGCAAGAAGGTGAAGGGAAGTAAGATGATTCATGCCTCTATAAGTATTTACGGAATGAATCCGTGAACTCAAATGGAGTCACATTAACATAAACACACATACGTAGAAGTAACTATCTTATCTATGATGGCTCTTGGGTAGACACTAGTTCCAAACAACAGTTCCCAAACTTTGCAGTACATTCGAATCTTCTTCATCTAGAAATGCCCAAGTCAAGCCCTAGATCAATTAAGGCACAATGTCTGGGAATGGCAAAGAAAAACTTGCATTTTTTAAAGATTCCCAAGTGATTCCAACGGGCAGCAAAATTTGAGAACTACTGTCTTAGTAGATATTTAGCACAATTAATGAATATCTAGAGGATAAGGAGTCGATATCTTTGAAACATAGACTATAAAGTAAATACAGTGCTTGGATTTCTAAAGTTCATGCATGAACTTTAAGGAACCAGTCTTGTCTCTCTCTGTATTTGTACTGAGTTAATTTTGTAGGTGTGAAGGTAATTCCAGTGAGTGAATGATTCAAAAACCATTGGGTGTACAGTATGAGTTTGACATTGACGTGAGACCTGCCATTCTTATGAGGGGCTCCAGAGGCTAGGATTCGAAAGAGGTGATCTGCCCATGGTAAGCACCATCTAACAACAGGAGAGGAGGTCGAGAATGATGTGAGGAAGTAAACGTCACCTAGAAAAAGGTTAGCAGCTGAAAGACTATAAAAATCAACTCTCAGGAGAAAAGTTATGAGTTTTAACTAGTTAACTTAATTCATATAATGAATTCCTAAATAAATTAGGAATGTAATAGCAGAATATAAGGTGGCACGTTATGTTCTGCACTGTCACAGAAACCCCAGGACATGGCACTTATATAAGCAAAAAGAAAAGGAGTCACGGGGAGGCGACAAGTGTACTTAGTGCCTGGTCACCTGCAAATACTCATCGGGCATTCTCTGCATGTCCTCATGATTAACCTTGCCATCCACTCTAGAAAGTAGCTGTTATTTCCCTTTGCCAGAGGAAGAAATGGAGGCTCAGAAAGTTTAACTTCCTAAGGGAATAAAACTACCAGTGGGAGAGACCCAGGACTCCTATTCATTTTTTTTTAATGTTTTTATTCATTTCTAGGAGAGAGAGAGAGAGAGACAGCACGAGCGGGGGGGGGGGGGGTCAGAGAGAGAGGGAGTCACAGACTGAAACAGGCTCCAGGCTCTGAGCTGGCAGTCAGCACAGAGCCTGCCGCGGGGCTCGAACCGAGGAACCTCGAGATCATGACCTAAGCGAAAGTCGGACGCTTAACCGACTAAACCACCCAGGCGCCCCGCCAGGACTCCTATTCAGATCTGAGTCTGACATTCCTATCCTGGGCATTGCCCAAAACCAGCAAGGCTCTTCCTTCCCCTCCATGCCTGTAGCTCGTCTGGCTGGGGAGTGTGTGCGCTCTGTAGCAACAGGCTGTGTCTTTAAGAGAACAGGGTTACTAATGCCTGCTGTTAACGAACCAGCGATCCCCAAGCATCTGCCCCAGAGGCTGCTCGGGCAGCTGGGTGGAGACAGGGAGAGATTGGATCTCCTTCGTTTGAGGAAGCTGGAAAAGCTTAGTAAGAAGCTAGCACTGATTTGAATAAATGTCAATGACTGGAGAGTATAAGGGCCTCTGACATCAGCATCTCCCCACAGGAAGCAATGGAGCCTTAGAATGGTCTCGGGAGGCCAAAGAAGATGTTTGTTCCCATATTTACAGAAACACGGAGGGAAGGGGAGGCATTCTGTCCCAAGTAGCTGTCGCCGGGAAGGTCTCCTCCGGCCTTTTTAGGGCTTCCGCCTGTCGGTCGTGGCTGAGGAAGAGCTGCTGTGAGGAGCTAGCATGACTCACGGCTGTGCCTTCGGCTGTCCCCGCCAGCCACCCCACCCACATCCCATCCCGGCTTTGCATCACCAGCTGTCCTCATTCACGGCGTTGGAAGGGTTCACGGAGTCAGCCCTCGCTCCACTCTCGGCTCATCGCGTCACACCAGCGGTTTATGGGCGAGGCGGCCTTTCACTGGGACAAGTCCCTTCTTCCTCCTTGCCTCCAGCAGGCGCCGGCAGGCAGGGCAGAGACCCGTCTGCGGTGTGGAGGTGAGACATTGGCTGTGGGATTTCTCCAGCAGCCCCTCACCCACTTCACAGCGATTCCTTGATGCTCTCAACAGCAGTGGTCTCTGTTTCCGGTTTGCTCCATGTCCCTGTGGCTGTTGCTGATCTCTCCATCAATGGGGACATGTTCCAGAAACTAGTCCTCTCCCTCCGGTTCCCTGACTCCCACGACATCACTTTAGCTGCCTCTTCTCTCCTGGTCGTAGGCCATCCCCATGCCATGTCATTTACCCCCCTCATGTCAGAGTGGCCACCCTGTCACCCTCTGTCCCCACCTAAGCACCTGCAGGTGTCAAACACACACACACACAC